ATATATATATATATATATATATATATATATATATATATATATATATACACACACACACACACACCTTCCCATATGCTTGCAATATTCTAAACAATGTTTCTAATCTCTAAATGCTCTAAAAGAGAACACAATATGATTTCAGCTCTCTCTGCTAGAGTTGTCCTTACTAACCCGACCAGATCCAACATGAATTCGGGGCGGGCTGGGCCATAATAATGCGCTGGATGGGCAGGCTGGGTCGGTGTCAGGCTTTTGATTGAGTTAGCAGATCAGCCGCGATCCAATTATATGGCAACATGGCTTGCCATACCATCACCAGCTGCACGCAGCCATTTCACTGCGAGCTGACCGGCCTTGAAAGAGGCAACATAAAGTTCAGTTAAGCTTCAGATGGGACTGCACTGCCAGGAAGTGATCCATCGCCCAAATGGACGTTCATTCAGCCGTTGCACTCAGCGGACGCACACGACCGACGACCGAAACAGGTGAGATCACAAAGCAGACATGTCAGAGCAGGGTCCATGTCTGAATCAGTCAGAATGCAGACAGATGTGTATACAATAATATGTACACAATTTTGTTCCACCTGTGGTGTGAATGACAAATAAAGAACCTTGAACCCAGGATTCAACAGTTAGTAATAAATAGTTAATAACTATATAAGCAGTCAAAATTTTATAAAAAATGTCGGGGGGGGGGTCGGTTGAGACCTGTAATTACAGTTAATTTGTCGGGTGGGTTTCGGAAATTATGGCTACAGGCTGGGTGGGGCCGGATCTGAAATTTTGGGCCCGGATGCAACTCTACTCTCTGTCACCTGCCAGCACTCTTGGCCACGCCCACTTCTCTGCTGCAGAGCGTAGATCATGACACACTGCAGGAGGGACAGTCTCCCTGCACCTGTGGGCTGCACACAGGTGCAGGAGGGGCAAAACAATTCATTTAAAATAAAAATTCCAGGCCGATCGTGCGGCTCATCCATCAATTTGCCAATTGTGCGTCACATCCAATATTACTTAGAAAAACCGCGAAAGAGCGAGTCCGCGAAAGTCGAACCAGGAAGTAGCGAGGGACTGCTGTACAACTTTTTTTTTTTTTTTGAGTCAAACCCAATTTTGGATATTCACAGCCAACTGATTGTGAATAAACAAACAAACACAAAAACAGTAACAATGGTCACTTTTATAAATATTAACCTGTAATTTGGTGAGTAAGTAGCTGAATCACAACACAACATTAGAGATTGCACAGGATCTTTGTTTAAAGTTTAGCATTTTTGAGTAAACTCTGTCTTTCTGTTAGCAAAATATCTCATGAACCACTGGACAGATTTTATTGAAACGTCCAAGAAACACTCAGTGGATGTACCTCAACAACTGATTAACTTTTAAAGTTATCCAAATTCAACATGGCTGCCACAGCTGACCAACATTAGTAAACACAAAAATTAATATAATTCAGCCAGTTTTACAGACACTGAGCTCAAATTTAATGTGGTGGTAGCTCAGATTAATTCACAACACTTAGTTCAAGTCATATTTATTGCACAATATCTTTTCTTGAAAAACTTTACTATTATCGGTGGAGTCAAACGGTTTGTCTGTTAGCAAAATATCTCACAAACAACAGGATGTATTTTAATGAAACTTACAGGAAAGTATTATTGGGTATGCACCTACAATCGATTAACTTTTGGAGTTAATCCAATTCAAGATAGCTGCCCAAACTAGTTGACCGTAATAAACATATAATTTGCTTTATCGTAGTCAGTTTAACAGGAATTGAGCTACAATTTAATGTGGTAGTAGCTGAGAGTCATTCACAACAAATTATTAAATTCCATCTTACAAGGGATAAAAATATTTTCTTAAATTTGACCAAAAAGGCAACAACTCAGTCTAAAACCCTGCCACGTGTGTCTTCTTTAATGCGGCGCCTTTAATCTAAGTTTTAATGCCAAGTTGGAGGCTCTTGGATTAAATGTCGTGTCTTTTAGTAATTTTTTTTATTAACATTTCCGTCAAGATATGTTCACTTTATAAACAATAAAAAAGTGCTTGATGTTAAGTACAATACAAAAAATAAAATAAAAAGTGTTTAAATCTAATTTTATCGTCGTAAAGCCACGATCACCGCTATAATTACAACAAAGTCATGTTTATAACCTCCCAGACACTTAATGAATAAACACCTGAGTTCATAAAAAACGAAAGTAAAAGTAGACGCTCGTCACAGCTTTTCAAACACGGATTCTTTGACCCGTTTTAAATATAATGTTAAATAAAATGTGTAAAAATACTGATCCTCTAACCTGCGTGAGTCCAAACCATCGCTGCGTTTCAAACCACCAACTTCCTCTGAAGGTCGTTTCCTGATTATGAAGAAAGCGTCACATGATGATGGTCGGAGCTCTTCCTCCTTTGAAACTGAAAGCAGCTGAAGGTTGGTGCGTTCATCAGAGAGAGGATGCAACACAACAAACAGCTAAAATAAAGCAGCTGAAGGTTGGTGCGTTCATCAGAGAGAGGATGCAACACAACAGCTAAAATAAAGCAGCTGAAGGTTGGTGTGTTCATCAAAGAGGAGGCAACACAACAAACAGCTAAAATAAAGCAGCTGAAGGTTGGTGTGTTCATCAGAGAGGATGCAACACAACAAACGGTAAAAATGAAGCAGCTGAAGGTTGGTGCGTTCATCAAAGAGGAGGCAACACAACAAACAGCTAAAATAAAACAGCTGAAGGTTGGTGTGTTCATCAGGGAGAGGATGCAACAAAACAAAAAGCTAAAATGAAGCAGCTGAAGGTTGGTGCGTTCAGAGAGAGGATGCAACACAACAAACGGCTAAAATGAAACGGCTGAAGGTTGGTGCGTTCATCAGGGAGAGGATGCAACACAACAAACGGCTAAAATAAAGCAGATGAAGGTTGGTGCGTTCATCAGGGAGAGGATGCAACACAACAAACGGCTAAAATAAAGCAGCTGAAGTTTGGTGCGTTCATCAGGGAGAGGATGCAACACAACAAACGGTAAAAATGAAGCAGCTGAAGGTTGGTGCGTTCATCAGTGTAGTATGACAAATATATGAAATATATATGCATACAATTTCACGAGTTCCTCATCTTTCTGACTGTGTAAGTCGTGCATTGAATTTTAACAAAAATGTAACGAGAGACGTTATTATCTTTGACCCATCAAAATGAATGTGGTCATTTATTTTCAGAATCAAAGTTTAACATCAAACATTTACATTAATTTGGCAAAATATGAAAATAATAACAGACAAGTTTCACAGAAAATGAGCATCGATCACTCGGCGGTGAACGAGGACTTTGCTTCAGATATTTCTAAAATATCTGTACTGGTTTTGTGAGAGAGAGAAGAGTTTAAGATGAAATGGAGATTTTCTTACAGAGAACAATGTGAGGGAATTAATATCTGTTGACCAGAACGTGCACGCTTCATCAGATCTCAGCTCGCCTCCGGTACACTTTAGTCGAAGAAGAGACCGTTACCTGGTGATGATAGATCAGCTCGATAGAGAATCCTCCAGACCTTTCAGCGTCTCCGTTGAGAGCTGCTGAAATCCTTAGATAGTCGTGCGTGGGTTGTTCAAACAGAAGTTATAATTCCAAACGTCTCTGACTCTCCTGAATTCTCGAATTCTCTTCCATTCACTTCACCATTCTTCATGAATTCCCCATGAATTCTAACCAATTCTCCTCAGAACTCCTTGAGAACTCCTTGAGAACTCCTTGAGAACTAACTTGAACTGGAAAGTTGCCACATTTTAAATGGGTCGACTTCCGGTTCAATTTAGAGCTTTCTGATTCGTGGATGTACCAGAAAGAGGTGTGGTTTTTGACGTAAGGTATTATCAAAAGTCGAGGTCAGGGAATGAATTTGTTTTCAACATACAGAAAAGATTATTGCAGAATACCAGACTTTTTGGAGCCTCACTCTGTTGTATCTTTCCAAATAGTAAAACATGACATCCCTTTTTCAGTAAACATTTAGTTGACCGAAGCTTCAACTTTCACATACTTACGACTTGGCTCATTTCAGACAGAAAATCAAGAAATGCATATTAACCTGATTTCTTCTTTGAATGAGGAATAAAAATCATTACTTACTGTTTATGTAAAATAAAAATGAGTAGTTATTTTCAACCTGTAAGCATTGAGTGAAACTAACACAATTTGATTATCAAACATTTGTAAGACAGTAATGATTATAAAGAATTGTCTTTTCTGCTTGATTAATTCAAGAAAGAAAGTCACCAGATGGCTCAGACTGTTTTCAGATCAATGAAAATAACAGTCTCTGTCCATCTGATAGATTTGAGGTCATCAGGGTCAGATCAGGCCAGATCAGGTTCACTACATCAGGGAGAGGATGCAACACAACAAACGGCTAAAATAAAGCAGCTGAAGGTTGGTGCGTTCATCAGGGAGAGGATGCAACACAACAAACAGCTAAAATAAAACAGCTGAAGGTTGGTGTGTTCATCAGGGAGAGGATGCAACACAACAAAAAGCTAAAATGAAGCAGCTGAAGGTTGGTGCGTTCAGAGAGAGGATGCAACACAACAAACGGCTAAAATAAAACAGCTGAAGGTTGGTGCGTTCATCAGGGAGAGGATGCAACACAACAAAC